GATTTTAAATTTAAAATCAATCACCTCCCCCCCCCCCCCCGCCACACACACACACATCCCGGCTTTGCTCCAGCTACTCTGCCCAGATGAGACTCTGCCAAGGAGCAACCAGGGAAAGAAATAGAAGGCTGAGTTGGCAAAATCGAGCAGCCCCAGGGCCTCCTCTCCGTGCCAGCCTGTCCCTATCTCGGTAGTAGTAGCTGAAATGTTGGGCGAGGAACCAGGGTTCAAATCCATCTTCAGCCCTGGAAGTTCACTGGGTGATTGGGGGCAAGTTACACTCCTTCTTAGCGGAGCCGAGGCTACCTCACAGGGTTGTGGGCATAAAACTAAGAGTTCCTTCCATGAAAGCTGCCTTGAACTTCTGGGAGAAGAGCAGGATACTGTATATATTAAGCAAAGAAATACAAATGAACAAATTCCCTCCTTTAAAAACAATGTTCCAATTAACACCCATATCTCAGGTTCCTGGAGCTGCCTCCCCACGCGCAGTATTCATTCATAGGATTAGGCTACCCTCGCGCTCCGGTGGATTCTGCGTTCCTCGTGCTTTCCACTTTGAAAAATTGGAAAGAGTGCAGAAAGAGGATGGGAGGAAGGAAGGAAGGAAGGAAGGAAGGAAGGAAGGAAGGAAGGAAGGAAGGAAGGAAGGTAGTTCTGAGGTTTTTGCGCGGTCTGCTTTCCAGACGAGCGATCTTTTTCTTTGCATTTTCTCCGGGGGGGGGGGCAATGAATCACAGGGTACTGGTAGGATTTCTCACCCCCGCCTCCGCCGGTGCTTTCAAACCACCCGCCTGAAATCAAAGGTAAACCTTTCAGGAGCACTATCTCAGGCTGGCTGGAAGGAGCAGAGAGCTGCCTGTGGTCGCAGACCGGCTGCCCTGCAAAGAGGCGGGAGTTCTCCCGGCAGACCGGGCGGGGGGAGGCTGCGCTGGACTGTCGGGGTGCCCGCCCCCACTGCAAGGACCCGAGAGAGGATGAATGAATGAAACTCCTCGAACGCTCTTCCCCAGCACTTTCTTCCGCCGAATGAACTCAGGATCGGGAGATACTTGCACGAGACTTACGTGCTCGGCGCAAGCTGAGGCAGACACCTGCACACTGAGCAGCCCTGCCTAGGCGAGGTCGGCCTGCCTTGCCCACAAGGTATGACGTCACCTCTCCTCACAAAAGCGCTTGCGCGGAAACCCCACCTTTCATCGGGTTGGTAGGTCCTTGAGAAGTAAAAACGGATCGTAGGCACAGTCCCGGCTTTCCAGTTTCACAGAACTTTGTCTACTTGCCCAAGAGAGTCACCAAATTCCTTGACTTGCAGACTAGATTTTTTTTCCTCTTTAATCAACTTCAACTTAAAAATAAATAAATTATAAGCTCATTTTTCAGGGTTGTTGTATGTATTTATGCAAGATATCTAAAGGGGACTTGTTTTGCATCCCCTGTTTTTTGAGAATTAGATCCACAGTTCCTGGCATCTGTCTGCTTCAGGTGATCCCAGGTGGACTTTTGAGAGGCCCATTTGATAGTCGTGATTCTTTCAGCAGCAAAATGTGCACTCATGAGTCTCTTGGGCCAACTGATGGTCATCCTTGGATTGAGTCTGCTTCACAGCTAGAAGCTGCCAATCTGTGCCTTAAAGCAGGGGTGAGCGTTAGGCAACCTGAAGTTCTAGGATCACATGCAGCCCTGAAGCTCATCCAACTTCCTCACAAATGATTTATAGCATCCTGAACCTCATACAACTATACCTGTGGTGATATAAACCCTGTCCTCATTACTAATCCAGCAGAACAGGAATAGTGTATGAGTTATAAAGAGATATAAATCAAGAATGAAGAAATGGACTGTACAGTCATCAGTCCAATAAGGAGAAGGCAGAAAGAGGGGATCATAATCCCCTATAATCCCAGTTCTTTCAGTCTGTGATGCTTTCTGCTGACTGTTTATTTTGTCTGAGGTTAGAGACACACATCAGGTCCCTGCCCTTTCTTCCCTTACATTTGCATACACACACAATACACGTACAACAGTTTGAAACCATAACCGGAGAGGCAGGAACCAATATGTTCTCTTGCCAATTGGTTTCCTTTGGCTTCACAAATTGTTTGGTTCTGCAGATATGCACAGAGTTGTGAATGTATATATTCTGATTTGGCAGCCTCTTACAATAATTGAGCAACAGTGATTGAAAGCACATTTATATACAACTCCTAAAATGTAAATCCTTTTTTGTTGGATAGGATTTAATCTTAGTAACATTTTTCCCAGTAGATTCATATCCTTTCATTGCATATACCACCAGCAATGGCATTTTTATACTTTTGTCCAACCTGTACTTGGAAAAAATAAATCTTGAAATTATATATATTTGAGTTTTACTACCTAAATCAATCTATCAGATTATTTCCACTGCCAAACCATTTGGTATTCAACCCCCCTTTTCTTCTCTGGGGCCAATATCCTATTGCTAGTAAGCAAGCAAGCATCAGTTGACCAAACAAAAAAAAACAAAAAAACAAATCTGATGAGATATTCAGCAAAACCGAAAAGTGGACATGCATTTCATTCACATGTCTATATGAATCATCCCTCCTTTTGACCAGGAGGCTGGAACAGCTTTCAAACCATCACAGGTTTTGTTTGTTTAATGTTCTGG